GCTCTTGCATTTAAAGTTCCTCAGGGCAAGGACTATGTCTGTATCTATTTTGTAAGGTGTTATGAAAACATATGGTGTTGTAATAACTAATAAATAACCATGAGTATGCACTAGCCTCAAACTTGGGCTGGGAGATCTTGTATACCTGTATTCTTGCTTACTCTGATGTTATCCCATGTACCTGTGAGCATACACAGGTGAGCGTGGAAGCGCACATGGAAGCGCAGTGTACTGGTGTGTACTGGTGATAGTGGTAATGATGCAGAGGTAAAATCTGTCTTCAGATCTTTTTCTGGCAATTTTGTACCCAATTAACTGAAAATATTAAACCATTACATTAACAGGCCATGCACTATCATGCCTGTGTAATTGAGGGAGTAAAATTCTTCTAAATCAAAATTTCAGAACACAAATGAGCTGTATGTTCTGAGCAATTACTTGTTTTTTAAACTGATTGCTCATTTTTGCAATAATGGGGGGATGAAGTCAGTTCCTCTGAAAATAAAGAAATTGTAGGTTTTATGACTCACATAAAGAAAATGTGTCCTTGGTGATGCTTGAACTTAGCATAAACTACCAAACAAGTTACATGTATATTCTTAAAGAATTTTTTATTAAAAGAATGAACAAAACAAAAAATGAAAAAAAAGTAATGTCACAATTACTTATAGCTCTTCCTCAGCCATGCCTGTTTCAAGAATAGCAGAACATTTTGCTCACCTGAAAACTCTTTCTATAGGGTCCTTAACCTGTGAAGTCATGATTTAAAAGACAACTAAAAGACAACACAAATGTTAGTACAAGTGATATAGTCACTCTATTTTTCCACTGTTTCTGACAAATACATTTTTTTGCATAGATTGACAGTCAAATGACTGCACCTTTCTCTGATAAATTCTGCTAGAAAAGAAGATACATTTCCTCCATGGTATAGATAATGTAGTTCTTACAAACGTGAGACCATTTGTGGCTGTAGTCCTTGCTAAGCTTACCCCTCATGCCTACAGTGGAAATAGCCGGTAAATCCACATTCAAAGGCAGAACTTCTTTGCTCCCGTTTCTTCTTCAACCTGATCTTTATGTTTTCTTTATGGAGCAGAAAGCCCACTATTAAAGCTCCAAAAGGGACTTCTTTGGTCGTCGAAGAGAGACAGAAGAAAATGAACACATTTTCCTTCAGAAAAACATTGTTAATTGATCTTCGTAAATTTATGCTCAGCTGAAGTGTCTGGTGGACAGCCACTTGGGTCAGGGCTGAACTTCACTTTCAGGCTGAGAATCCTCTTTCCCTGATGCAGTGTGTTTTTGTTTTGCTAAGCTCATGTGTGTAGCCTGAACCTTTCCCAGGAAGCTTGCTGTGTTAATAAGGTGCATAGCTGGTCCTTCCCCTGCCTTTACCTCACACACTTTTCTTCGTACTGGGAGGGGGTAATCATTTCCATCATCCTCAGAGTCTACTTCTAGAAACTGCATTGCAATTTGGCTGTTCCCCTACAGCTCTCTTTTTGGGGAGGGGTAGTGGATGTTCTCTTGTTGCTTAATGATTATAGAAGAGCAGATAGAGAAATATTATCAAAGTCTAAATTAATTCTCAGTAGTTTAAGCACCCTAAATGCAATTAAATCTTTTGGAGACTGATTTTTAAGGTGACTCTCTTCATCTGTATCAGCAACAGGGAGCGGAAGTCGGTTCTAATATACATAACTGGTTGCATTGGCCCTTAGATGGCATATGTGACCTGGGAGATAGAAACTGGATATCTGACAGTCCTCACTGGGAATGTTTGTAGAACTAAATGAAATAATCAGTTTTGTTATTTTGTATTGTTGTCTGTATGGCATGTTCTGACTAGGTCTTTCTGTACAACTCCCATTGTAACTAATGGAAACCATATGTACAGGAGAGAAAAATGGACACATAAAGATATTTCTCTCATCTTAACACTGTCTTACTTCCTTCTCTAGGCACCTTAACAATGAACACGCGTTGGATGACAGAAGCACTGCTCAGTGTCGGGTGCAAATGCAAGTGGTTCAGCAGTTAGAAATACAGGTTTGTTATATGGATGCATTATCCTCTTACTTATTTACTGTTAACCTAAACTAAATTGAAAACACTTGCCTTAGTGACTCTAGCTTAAAGGCATATGTTTCTTACATTAAATTTGTTGATATTCATGAACAAGTGAGGGTTTTTTACTTAAAGATTTTTCACATCATAAATTATGCAATAATTATCTAACATCAAGATTGTCTACAGTATTTTGCTTGAACTAAGACTCAAATGCTGTTCCTCACGAATGAAAAATGCAGTCCCTGGAGCAAAGACTGGATCCAAGCCACTTTTTATAATGCTGGGTCAGGACCCCTCTTCCTTCTTCCTTCTTCTTACCCAGTGCTTGTCCATGCAGTTCTGTGGGATAAAAGAGTAGCAGAGCATATCTCCACCCAAGATGACTCCCAGCCTGATAGGGGGCATTTTTCTGCAAGCAAGAAGGTGTAATGTCAGACTGGCTCAGGGAGGTCCCCGGGGAGTGGCATGCCTCAGATCGCAGGCCTGCAGTGCCCTGTGCATGCTCTAACCATTAGAGGTCACTGCATGTATGTGAATGCTCTCTTCTGCTTATGCAGGGAGTGATGAGTACCCCTGGGGTCTCCCAGTATTGTGGCTACACTTACCAGGCTGCTGAGGTTGGGCACAGCCTCAGAAGTGACCATGCAGGACACTTACACCACGCTGTCTCCTCCTGCCCACACAGCAGTCATGGAGGGGACATGTCTCAACACTCACATGTCCTCTTGGGACTGCTCACAGGAGCTCAAGGGGTGCAGCAAAGGACTAAGATTTTTGTCCCTGTTTCTTGCCATATGTAGAGAAATAAGGATAAAAACTCTCACCTTTCTCACTTTTTCAGAATATTGTCTCACAGTTCTCTGTCACATAAGAATACTTATTCTTCTTTCGGATAAGTCTTTTTTGGGTCTTTTTTACTCTAATGCTGGAAATCCAAAACAATGAAAGGAGCATACAATAATGTAGTTTGTTGTCATTTTCCTTTAAATTAATAGTTTTTAAACACAGGTAAAGTGCTATTTCTTTTATGTCATTTACATGATAGGGTTAGCTTAGTTTGTTAGGTTTTATAGGAATTTAAGGCAAATGCTGTGTCACTAAAATGTCACACACAGAGTATGAAGGCACACATAATATGAAGAAGAAACCTTCCCAACCCTTACCTCAAATGTTCTTCAACTGAAGATGCATTCATCAAATTAAATACCTGCAGTACTAAAGATAGTTCCCTCTCTTAAAATTATTTACAGTTGTTTTCCGTTGCCCAGTGTCAGTTTACAGGTGTAAGAGCAAGAACTCTCTGGAAAATGGTAGTATTAAACACCAAGTATAATTCTTATTGCAATTAATGTTGAAATCATGTTGTAGGTAGCCAGAACCAAATCACTACAGTAAAACTTTGAATATTTCTTCTTGTAACTTATTTTGTGAAAAAAAGAGAAAAATCTTTTCTTGTTGTAAAATACATTTTTTTCTTTTATATTCTGCTATTTTTATCAACAAGTTGCATATTTCAAGCCCTTTCTCCTGTTTAATTTTTTACATTTAATTTGGTACCTTGTTTGAATCTGAACCTACAAATATTTACATGATATATGATCAGAAAATGGTATCAGTTAGGAAAAAGTAGAGGTTTAAGTAACAATGTTTTCCAAAGACAGCGTAAGGGCTTCATAGGAGCTGTTTACCATTTACAAAGGCTAGGCTGTAATCTAACAGTTGAAGTGAAGATTTAGCTTGCGGTGTGACCAATTATGCCAGTTTTTGCTTTGTCTGACTGCTAGCGAAGTAGGGTCCATCAGTTGTAATGAGACCCAGTGCAGTGCCGATGCCGACTTGATGGCAGAGTTCAGTGTTTCACACTGCCTGGGCTCTGTCACTCTATTGAATTAGATTGATGATGGCAGATTGCAGGGGGCACTAACTGGACCTCAGTGGGAAAGGATGAAGTGTGTAGTCAATCCTGGCAGGCACTGTGCTTTGAGGACCCTTCACCCCTTCACAGCTGTTGGCACTAGTCCATTGCTAACAGTGTCCACAGGACTTTAAAGAGACACTATGGGCCTTCTAATTTATGGTCTTAGTAACTTGTTACTGTCGAGGCAACTGTGACCTCAATTCTCTTATTGACAAAAAGATGAAGTGCTATTTGTTTTCTCTGACCTTTTAACATATGAAAGGCTATAAAAGTTTTTGTTGGTTATTTTTTTCCTTCCTTTCTTTCTTTCTATGCCTAAAGTTGCATTTCCTCTTAGATAAGTTTCTACTGACACAGACTTATATGCAGGAATCATTACACCAAGACAAGCTCAATGATAAGATGTATCACTGCAGTGAAATAGCTGTATCAGTTATTTCTAAAATGCTTCTGATCCCACTCTTTCTTAACAGCTTTCTAAAGAACGCGAACGTCTTCAAGCAATGATGACCCACTTGCACATGCGACCCTCGGAGCCCAAGCCATCTCCAAAACCTGTAAGTGCATATTGCTTTATAAACAGTAAATAGGTCTACAAATGTATCAGGCTAAGAAAATGAACAATTTAGTGACAGTTGGAAAACAATGAGTGTGATGAAAAATATGGCAATAAAATGAAGGTAAAATGCAATATCTTGTCAAATTGTATGTTTCTTTAAAAGTAATGCTATCTTTTGCAAAATCTATCCAATCTACACCATAGGTGACACTAAACAAAGTACGCCTATAAGTGTCCAAATCATTGCCTTGAGACTGAGACTAGAGAGAATATCTTTTTGTGATAGGTGTAGAGATATTAAAAAGAAATCCACTTTGAAAGATTTGAAGTTCATTGACAGTAAGAAGTAAATGTAACCTGAATCTAGGTACTTAGGAAATTTTTCAAATTGCTTACAAGAGACACAAGTAAACAATTTATTATTCTTAAATGAATAAAAATGTTATTTTA